ACTACACACACACACACACACACATATATATATATATATATATATATATATATATATATATGCATATATTTATCTATATTTATCTAAAATTGGGCAATGTTTGTATTTCCATTTCAGATGCCACCGGGTAGGCAGTTCTGGTTCCGCATAGCCTCAGTACAAGCGTTTGAAGAGAAGCTGAAAAATGCACACACAGACATGGGTATCTCCAGAGACAGTTGGACCCCAGTGTTCTACGACAATGAAAACTCCCTCAAGGATTTGTTCTCAAGCTGGTTACCTATCATGCTCATCGCCGCCATTCCTATATACTTCATATTTAGGTATGTACAGTTGTATTCGTATTCGTGTGGTGTCTATGTTATTGTGTGTGGTTATATATGTTCATCTGCGTAGATCAAAATGAGTTTTTACATCCCGTATATGTGCGTATGATGTGTGTGAAAAGTATCTGTACATTCGTTAGTACAAATATCGAATCCTCCATTATGGATATGTTCTCTGCTCTGTGTTGCCTACTTTCTCATACTATTCGGCGATATACCTTTTGTAGTTAGTGTTTAGGTACACACATGTGTATTGTTAGGACATCTGTGCATACCCGTGGGTTCATCTGTCTAGTTTAATGTATGTGTGTGTTCCGTACATGTGCGTATGCGTGCGAAAGACATCCGTAGTGTAGCCTTTTTCGTTAGTGCTTTCGTTAGCGAAAGCTCCACCATACACATATTCGCCTAGTATTCTCATCGCAGACACACCTTCGTATAGGTTGTCCGAATACTTGGTCTGTATATTTGTGTGATTTACATGTGCATTGGCGAGTGTTGGTGTTGGTGTTGGTGGAAATATTTTCATGACTTGTACGTGTACGTATGCGTGCGCGTGACAACCGAATGCTCGTTGCTAAGGAACGAGAGCTATAGAAGTCTTCGTTTTAGAAGGTCATTTGTAGTTGGGTGATAGTTGCATTCTTCGTGGCAACCTATTTGTCGTATGTTGCCTAAGTGTCTGCGAAAGTCTGAACTCTACATGTTCTCCAAGATGATCCCAACATACATACGTCGGAAAGAGGGTTAATAACCCTAAACCCCCAAAACCCTAAATCCATCTGATTTCGCCACCTTACTTTAGCGTATGTCTCAAAGCAGCATCTATTTCATCCCATTTCTAGGTTGCGCAAAGGCGCGGCGGGTGCAAATGGTCCTGGTCCTGCCGCGGGAGGGCCAGGGGGTATGTTCGGTATAGGGAAAGCCAAAGCAACCGTCATCTCGGGAGAACAGGCTGTCAATGTCAAGTTTTCTGACGTAGCAGGTAGGTAAAAATCTCTTTTATGGAACAGTTTTTCTTTTTTAGCAATCATCTGCTGTTATTGTTGCTATAGTGTACGTGACTGCGTATATATATATATTGTTTAACTAAGGCAACAGTTCTCACGGGATAACTGTCTGTCATTGTCAGATTTTTGGATATAGGCGTTATGTAGCTCAGCTATTTATAGAACAGCTCATGGAAGCAAACTTATGTTATACCGCCATCTTCTACGTAGATAATTACACACATACATATCATTAGGCCATAGCAACTGCAATCATGAGAGAATAGCTCGTCAAACGTCGAGTTCTTCGACATGATGTATGTTTATTTATGCTATATATATA